AAAAAAAAAAAAAAAAAAAAAAAAGAGAATGAAAGAAGAATCTCTCCCTCAGCCACCCTTTCTCTTTATAAGAAATTTGTTTCTCACTTTCAACTGTCAAAACCCTGAAGCCAAAACACAGAAAGATGCAGAAGGTACCTTGTTATGTTCTCTTGGTGTCTCTCTTTAGTTCTGCACTTGCTCCTCTGTCTCTTTCATGGAGGCAGAACAAGGAATTCAACCAAGCTGAGAACTATGAAGGTTCTTCTGACTTTGTGGATCTTGAGTATCACATGGGTCCAGTCCTTGCAGCTCCCATCAACCTGTATATAATCTGGTATGGTCACTGGAACCTTTCCCACCAAGTCATTATTAGAGATTTTCTGTATTCTGTTTCTTCTTCATCAGCTTCTCATCCTTCTGTTGCTGACTGGTGGAAAACTGTGAGGCTCTACACTGACCAAACAGGGGCAAACATCACAGGTAGCATTTGGTTGTCAGGGGAGTTCTATGACTCCAGATACTCCCATGGTGGGTATCTCAGTCGTTTAGACATCCAGTCTGTCATAAAAAATGCAGTTACTTCTTCCCCAAGGGCGATACCTCTCAATGCTCACAATGGACTTTACCTGGTGCTGACTTCTTCTGATGTTCAGGTTCAAGATTTCTGCAGGGCAGTCTGTGGCTTCCACTACTTCACCTTCCCAACAATTGTTGGGGCGACAGTACCCTATGCTTGGGTAGGGTACAGTGGGACTCAGTGTCCTGGGATGTGTGCATACCCTTTTGCCTGGCCAAAGTATTCAGGGAAGCCACCACCAAACACGAATGGAGGCAACAACATAATGAAAGCACCAAATGGGGATGTAGGAGCTGATGGCATGGTGAGTGTCATTGCTCATGAACTAGCAGAAGTGTCAAGTAACCCACTGGTGAATGCATGGTATGCAGGAGACGATCCAACTGCACCTCAAGAGATAGCAGACTTGTGCCTAGGTGTGTATGGTTCTGGTGGAGGTGGGGGTTATGTGGGAAAAGTTTACAAGGATTCTTGGGGAAATGGGTATAATGTGAATGGAATTAAGGGGAGGAGGTTCCTGGTGCAGTGGGTGTGGGACCTTGAGAAAAGAAGGTGCTTTGGGCCGAATGCCATGGACTAGAAGTGTGTTGTGAATTCTAGACATTCTCTTGCCTTTGATATCTCATAGGAGGCAAGGTGGTGGCATTAGGAAAGGCCAGGGGATCATACTGGCAAGGTAATAGAAAGAATGACAGCTTTGTTGATAAGTAGTGTGCTTTGGAGGGAGGTGTGATGCTTTGGTGTTTAAATTCATATATACTTTTGTGCATGCACAAAGGATATAGAAAAGAAAAATAAAACACCATGTTCAAATGAATTAGAGAAAATGTTAGTGCCATTGTGCCACGCAGAAGAGGAATTTGAAATAAACAGAACTTGTTTTCTATTCAAAGAACAAATGTGTACAATCCACTGAATCAGAAGTTACAATTGCATTTGATAATTTATCCTAACCACTACACCAATTCTTGTCAGCCACCAAAGAGGAAAAAATGTTCCTCAGCTTACCCTAACCGTTAAATTTGCATGGGCAAATCAGATACAACTCAGTTGTTTAACAAATGAAGGTATGATGCTATAGAAACTATACAATTCCATGAATAGGCTTCATCTCAAGTTTGTGAAATGAAATTACTGTATCTAAGACAGATGGTGAGAGATTTGATAGTACCTGCCATACAAAAAGGGTTCTTTAACAAATTAGCATGTCATTTGATTGATGCATCCTGTACCGTGATTAATTCTGGACAAGATTGAGTAAAGATGTATCTTCACGACTCATCAAAGCAACGGATACAAGGGTGATCAACAAGCCTGGCTACAAGGCTATCTAGCCCAGAATGAGCGCAGATGTCAAGCTGTTCCAGAAACGAAAATGTCAGAGACTCATTCAGAATCTTTTGAATAGAGCATCTTGTTGTGCTTTCTCAATCTCTGATGGTGGTGCAACTATATATTTAGGCTCCATTTAGTTTAGTTATTAGGCTCTAATTAGTTTAGCAGTTTAAATAATTATCAACACATGAACATAAGTACTTAGATTATATGCAACAACAGTAACTATCAGTAGTAAGAGTAGTGAAATATTGGCTATTAGTTATCAACTGTTTTCATGACTTTCTACATATTGAAGTCAAAAAGATGAATATTGCTGCAAGGAGTTCTATAACGACAATCATAACAATTCGCCATCATCTGCTTTTATAGCCTTGACATTCGTCCTCAAGAAGTTACAGCGATCTGAGAACACAGAAGGCCCTATCAAACATAGAGACGACCTGGTGCAACATATAACCCTTGGAATTTTAAAAAGTGACGGGAGAGAATTTTGTCACTTTTAGCACTCAGAAAAATGCACACCACTCCCAATCTCAAAAGCATAAAAGTTTCTCCAAGCTTAGGAGGCGAAGGGAATTTCATGCACTGCGATTTGTGATTCAAAAACCATTTGCACATCAGGTCTCACATTTCTTTGAATTATTTCTAGGCTTATTGGAGCAGCTGACAGAATAAAAATTATGGCGGAAGCATTCTTCTACCAGGTCAAAAAGATGGCTTCTGCTCAAATTCCTCGCATGTTCAATTGATATGTTCAAGCCCCATCTATTCTGACCTGGTTTGATTCAATGGAGCAGTTCACTTCCAGCAGCTTCAATAACTTTTGGAGACAAATCCTGCACAATAAAGTGGCTAGCACTGTTGTCACCTTGACATAACTCATCCTGGCTTGGATATTTGGTACTAAAACCTTCAACTTTAGTACACGACTCTCTGCAGGCAACATTCCGGCTGTTAACTCTTTCATATGATTCTTTCCTATCATTATCAGCATTTTCCCCAAATCTTTTGACCTTAACTTCTTCCAAGTTTAAGTGCCTTTTCATGCTGATACTTTTGACTTCATGACTGGTTTCACACAACACATCCATCAACTCATCTCTTTGATGCATCTTGCTTACATGAACATGGCTAACAGAAGCATTGAAATCTTCAGTATCTCTTTTACCAATGGATGATTCTGGAAAAGGTCTCTGTAGTTTTTCAGGAGCATCACCATCCATACTGATTTTCTCCAATGAGGAGTTCTCAATGTCAACTGTCTGTTTGTCTTCTTGATCAGTCTGCGACATCCCATGCGGCAACTTAACATATTCAGAAATTTTACCTTCATTGACATGGCTAACAGAAACCTTTGATGCTTCTAGTGAAGGTCTTTGTAGATTTTCAGGAGCCCCACCTTCAGCACCAATTTGCACAAATGATGACCCTCTCCCAGTGTTGACCGTATGTTTGCCTCCATGATCAGTCTGAGACATCCCAGGCAGTAACTTGACATATTCAGAAATTTTGTTTTCATTAATATGGGTAAGAGAAACCTTTTCAGTACCAACAGATGATTCTAGCAAAGGTCTTTTTAAATTATGAGGGACATCACCATCCATACCTTTGTCCTCAGATGAGTAATTCTTACCAAAGTCTGGCCGGATCAACTTTTTCCTTTTACGCTGTCCAATTGATGTGTCCTCTGCAGTTTCACTACAGTTTTCAGTCCTACCTTCAGGGAGGGTTTTCTTCACTATACTACGGCGTTTGAAGTCCACAAAAGGTGTCCCTTCAGCTTGTTGGATGATATTCTTCTCACCAGCAGGGATACTCTTGATGTTCATTTCCTTTGAGATAGCTGAGGGATCCTTCAATGACTTGGAGCTAATTGTCATATGCTTCTTCTTCCTAACATTTTCACCAGAATCACGCTTGATTAATGATTTACAGCTTACCTTCAGCCATGGGTAACGACTATGGTATAATGTGGACATGACTTCATTCACTGAATTATCAACACTGTGGTAATTATTGCCAGAAGGGATGTTGATTTCTCGTTTATATACTTTTGGAGCCAAAGTTAACCGAGAAAACACACCACCCCTTTTCTTCTGGCAATCTACATCCATGCTTTCAGAATTTTGATAGACAGGACTTGACAAAGTCCTTTTATGGTAATCTGTGCTTCTAGGTTGAACAGAACAATGACCTCCAAGAAGGAACTGACCCTCGTCAAAAGCAGGAAAATCAGTAGTAAATTCAACAGCATTTTCAAAATCAGGCACTTTATGATGAGGTTTGTCAGCTGATGCTACAGTATAATAAGGATACCTCGAGCCAAAGGAACAAAATGGGAGGGGCTCACTTATCCTTCCATTATTTCCACTTTGAGAGGGCATAGGAAAAGAAATGCCATCATAACCTTCATTTTCAGAGGATTCGACAGTCAAATTTTCACCGCTGGCAGGACATGACAAGCTTGCCTTACTGTAGTATTCATATTGATTTAGATGAGGCAACCAACTGTGGTTACTGGAACCCAAATGAACATCGTGGCATATGCTTGTATTTCCAGACTCAAGATATGAAGGCGGTGACTGATTTCCAAAAGAGGAAAGGACATTAACAGCAATACTACTGTCAGGAGCACATTGCAATGATCTAGAATACTGATTGATGTCCAAAGATGATGAGCATGAATAGTTAATACCGGGAACATCTGGATCACATGGATGAGTCCTTGTGATAATTGCATCTCCATAGGTTGTTGGGTACGAACTCTTAGACTTACATGACTCCATTCTGCGAATGAATGTGGAAGATAAGCTAGATGGATCTTGAGCACATGAATCTGCATTTAAAACATGTTTGCTAGAATAGCTAGATGAATTAAGTTTAGTATGATAAAAGCTAGGACACTTCATTGAGGTGGCTGGTACAGCAACATTGTCCTCATAATGCTCATTTTTTAACCTGCCACTCCTTGCAAATCTGACATCATCAGAAGCTTCTCTGAGATCACCTAAGGAATACCCCATTGATACAACTTGCTCATTTTCATAGCTACCCCTCCTTGTAAACCTGACATCAGAGAAGTTTCTGAAATCTCCTAAAGAATTTCCAACTGACTTGACTGGTCTCAAGACAACATCCATATTCCTTTTGCTTCTTGTCCCATTACTTGTTGCAAGCCTGCTCCCATCTAGGTCTCCTCTTACTTTAGCAGAAGAATCCCCAAAATACTCAACTGAGATTCCTGGAACCATTTTACCATCCATTTTATTCTCATATCCTTTAGGCTGATGTATCTCAGACCTGTCATCATCAATTTCTTTTCCATCATTGCAAAGAGAGCCCCCAGGGTGCATGGTTGAGAGGACCGGGTCACGCTTGCTATCCACACCATGTTCAACTGTTACTTGATTACCCATTAGAAACATATCACTATGAACTACTCTTCTAACTTTAGTCATAGGGGAACCACTTTGTTTGGCAAGTTCACTACTAGTCAGTTGTTTTTCAGGTGCCCAGTCTTTTTTCTTTCTCAAACTGAACAATGAAAGAAGCTGAACAACCTACAGAATCAGATAGAAGGAAAAAGTGAAAATACTGTTAAAAGTTGTCCTTTCATGCAATTTATTTCCAGTTATCATAGGAAAAAAGAGCAGACCTGATATTCAGACAGCCCAAAGTTAAACTTTCTAGCTGAGAAATAATTTTCTCTGATAGCATCACGGAATTCATTTTCAGGAAGTGGAGTACAAGACCACAACTGGGTGAACTTGACCTATATAAAAGGATCCATAGTAAAGAATAGTCAGCTACTCGATTTTTTCTTTAGTATCAAGTACCGACTCTCAAATGCATGTCTTTACCTGCGCAGGGAGTTGCTTCCCTGATGCACTGAGTGAATTTGGCACAATATTCATTGCACCATCATAGGATGCTTGAAACACACCATGAAGTTCCCTCTTCTCAAATTCAAACAGGAACAGTATCATTCCAGCTTTAACATGATTTACAAAGTAGGCATACGAAGATGGAAGGCCAAAAAACTTTCTTTTAAAAAACTCTCTTTTGGTTGCACTGTTTGACATGAATATCGCGCCAAATTCAGGAAGAACTCCAGCGACACCCCTCTGCTTCACATCTTCCATTTGCAACCTTGTTGACATGCTGTCAAATTTAATAATGATAAGACAATAACTACTGCTGCTGCCGAAGGGAGGTGTATTAGGTCTCACTTGAAGCATGGAAGATAACATCAGCTCCTCAGTTTCAAAAGAATGTTAGATGCTTTATCACACTAGTAAAATATATATGTGTGTGCGTGTGTGCCTAACTTTTATAAGGAACAGATGCCCCTCATTCTAAAACAAGAATCTAAGACAAAAATAAGATTGCTGACATGAAATTTTGCAATTCTTAATATGGGAAGAAGAAAAGGCAACCAATAGCAAAAGCAGCAGTTATCGATTTCATATGTACTTTTTTAAGGTAAAAAAATCTCCAGCTATTTCTTTGATTCCATCCCCTCCCCAACACCAATAAAAAACCGAAAAAGGATTTAACAATAATAAAAAGAATAAAGGAAACACACTTCTAGCATGCATAAAAATTAAAATCACAACAAGAAAACTCACATTGTTTATCCCCAGTGCAAAATACGAATGTTGAAGTTGAATCTCGCTGACTATTACCAAAAACTGCTTGAATGAATGAACCAGTAGAACGCAGGCAAAATAATCAGTAGCAAAAGCTTAATCAAGATAAAAGCAAAATTATCCCCAGAATTGGGCTAAAAGAACATAGCAAGCAGCTTCCAATTTCATGATAACTAATTTGACCAAATGCAACTCCCAAGCCCCTTCATCAACATCATACAATTTAAGTAACAAATTTTGATTGTTAAAAAATTTATCTAACGATCAACCAAACACAAACAAATTAAATTAAGCAACATATATAATATTATTCATCCCTTTGAATTTCAACCTATCTACTTATATCTGAGGCATTAATAAAAATGCTATAAGCAATTAAGAATAAAACTATAGAAAAATGATCTCTTTCAAAATACAAAAAATATATCAATGAAAAACAAAAACTCAAAAATTAGATATATTTGAACACAAAAAATTTCACAGATAATCAATGTAAAGGAAATTCAAGATCTTAGGTAGTTGACTTCCAATCCGAGTCGTAAAATATTAAAATAAAAAAAAATGGAAAAAGATATTGAGAGAATTTACCGAGAGTTGACGTCGTAGGTAAGGCTGAAATTCCGCTGTTTTTCGAAGGGAATCGTCGCACGACGCTTCGGAGTCGGTTGACGGAAAGAGAGATTGCCGGCCGTAGGTGGTTATGTGCAAGGAGAAGCGAAGACGACGGCTTTACTAGAGTACATATTTTTGAGCCTGTGACAGTGAGTCTGCGATTATGTGGCGGTTCACTTCTGGAGGCCAGGATTACAAATTACGTGTAACTCGGGTTAATCAATACATTTATAGTGGCCCAAAAAAAAAAAAAATTGATGCTCCTTATAAATTTTAATTAATGTAAAAACATCTATGTCCCTATTTTTAATTATAGGATTTTTTTTTTGGGTACAATTAATTATAGGACCAAACACCTTTCAAGTTGTGAATAAAAGAAATTAGAAGTATTGGGTTGGCATTTGTCATGTAAAAAAAAAAAAAAAAAAGGACACTTCATTCTTGTTTATTTAGATTTAATTTCTTTAAGAATTATAAAAATTTATACGGTCTAAATTAATTAAAAAAAAGATATGGGAAAATTTATAGGTCATATTTGATTGGTGGTAATGATTATTGTTTGATTGAACTATAAAAAGTAAGTTGTTATAAGAAGTTAGGAATAATTAAACTTTAATT